AGGCTACTGGAATTTCCCCCATTTTTCTACCAAAATTCGGACATCACACGGCAGCAAACTAATCAAGCTAATTCTACCTTAATCAAGCTTAAAAACAATGGTTTAAGGCTGCCACATACCAGAATTTACAGCTGCAGAAACCGGACATGGCAGGGGGAAGAAGGCCGGCGGCAAGCTGCAGGGAAAACTCACGGGTCTTGCAAAAATTGGAGGAAATAAGAGCAATTAACGTAAACCCAAGCCAATTCAAGGAAAAACAAAGGGATTTAATGGTTGTTTCTTACCCAAAACCCAAGCAATTCGCCCCCCACAAACAGGAGCAGCCGGCGGTGAGGAGCAGAGCATAGCAGATCCGGTTTTCCAGCAGGGGGAGGGGAAATTTCTGGGTTCTATTTGGGTTCTAGAGCAAGAAAGGAAGGAGAAAACCAAGCTTCCTTACCAATTTTCCAAGGCATGGCTGGGTTCTCTTTTTTTTTTTTTTTTCTTTCGGTTTGCAGCGGGAAGACAAGAGCAGAAACGGGCTGGAGAAGAAAGAGGAAAAGGGAAAAAAGAAATAAGCCATCCTTATCCAAATTCTCCTCTTTTAAGTCCCTCGAGTTTGGGAATGTTGGCTATTAGGCCCAAAACAATATTTTCTCACAATTTAATCCTTAACTTACACTTAAATATTCCCAAAAATTTGGGATATTACACAAATATACCTCACCTTCTTGCTAAAGTTGGGACACCCATAAAACCTTTTTCCAAGGTTAGCCTTTGTCCATGAAGTGTATTTCTGAGATTTCAATCCACATTTATAGCATCGTTGACGACCCTCATACATATACTTAGCAATCCCACAATCTAAGAACGCCTTTGATCTTACAGAAACAGATTGTGAATGAAAAGAAGAAACTAGCATTTTGAAGGGCAAAATGGATTTCACAAAGGACAAAAACCTAGATCCCCAATTTTAAACTAAATCAAGTTCCACATGTGCCAACTTAGTGATATATTAATGGGGAATAATTGGGTTACATGGTATATTAATGTTTCATGACGTCATATGTTAAATTTGGGCTAATTTATTTCAACCGAAAAGTATGTTTGTTGATTTATTTCAATATGAAAGTCGTAGGATTCAGTTATTTCAAAAAAAAAGTTGCAGGGTTGATTTCAACAATATCGAAAAGTAAATGGGTTAAAATACCTTTTTTGCTCTTTTAAAAAGTATAAAAAGAAAAATTTATAGATTAAAAATTATATCATAAAAAATATCACTTTTTTTAGATATTGTAAATTTATAATATTATACATCTACGACATTTTCCAAAAAGTAATTTTTTAAAATGTAACAAAATTAAAGAAAAAATTGCATCACATAAATTTAAATTATGATGCTATTCATGGTCTAAAATGCACCCTACCATCACAACTAGTCCAGCGGGTGCTTCCAAAATGTAATTTAAAAGATGTAAAAGTTTGGATTTCCATTATATAAATTTTTTGTCTACATCAACGCCACACCAGCAGGGCTTGTGGGACTGATATAAAGTTAGACGAAATTTTGACATCTCTTAACATCAACATTGCAAGAGGGGAGGGTGGCATTGTTATATTTGTACAAAGGTTGATATGCCACCAAAAATAATTCAGGGAGAAGGAGGCCACAAAACTAGATGTTGAGGGGCTAATATAACCTTTTGCCAAAACTAATTTAAAAGATGTAAAAGTTCAATTTTTTTTTTTAAGAAAAAAAACCTATACCCACTTATTTAGAATATAAATCATTTAATTTTTTACACATAATTTTAAATAACATTTATATTTTGAAGCAACATAGGTTTTGAAATGAGAGTATTAATTTACTTAGCAATGCAAATCACAAAAATATCAATAAATTGGGAACATGGAAACGATGGTTTCTTTGATAAACTTTGCTTCTTTTGTCTAAATCAAGAAATAGGTATTAAGGTTCCCTTTCAGTTGATTAGTTCTAATATTCCTTTTATTAAATTCTCCTTCGATTCTGATCATGGAGGCACTTTTGCCCCAAGAAAGCATCTAGGGAAGTAAACAAACCAAATTGAGAAAAGCGACTACCATGTTTTGTTTCATGCACCAAACTCCAAAACAAATGACTTAAAAAAGCACGTCAAAATAGTGACTCATTACAAAATTCAGCATGCCCAATTGTTCTAGCACACTTTGTCCCTTTGTACATCCTATTTACCTGGCGTTCGTGTGGTCAAGCACTCAACATTCAAGTAAGCATTTTATTCACTCCACACTCCCTATCTCTATCCTCAATTTCTCCTCTAGCTTGTCCTGGTGTGTAAGTGTCACTTCTAAGTATGATGAATACAAATAAGCAATTGTGTTCGCATTTGGGTTGTTTTAAGTTTTATTTGTGTATACTCATTGAATGCTGTGGACCCCATTAAATTTTTGGTGGGGTCTTCTTTGTTGTCTCTATGGGGTATGCCATACTTCTACTTGTCTATAATTGGGATCTGGGTTGGGTTAAAGGTGGTGTATTTGTTTTTTTACTTTTTGAGATAATTAGAGTGATGGAGAGAAATGGTGAAAAGACACAGTAGTGAAATACAAAGTGTTTTAGGGGAAGGTAGTTTTAGGTGAGAATGTTGACTTTGGGGAGTTAATAGGTGGTCCTGGTTATTGTTGTGTCAATGAGCATGGCCATGAGACCTTGCATGACCAAGAACACACATTTTTGGCTGATGGCATGTTGCTTGCTCATTTGAGTTATGAAAAATTTTTTTTGATGAAAATTTGAGTTATGACACTTGCTCAACAAAAATTATTGGGCTCTCAATGGGTATTCCCTCTAAAACTAATGATGAAGTTCATTTTTTAGCTCATAAGGTTAGGGTAAGGGTGAAGGAAAAGCCTTAACTTATGGTAACAAATGATATCAAACCTTGCCTAAGTTGGACAACTGACTTTCATACTTACTTTCGCAATGTTTACAATTAGTTTGGTGGACTTAATAGTTAGTATTCTTTTCTTATTATAGTTTAATTTTTTTAATCTGAAATGTATAACTTTAAGTCAAGAAATCTTGAATAAATTTCTAAATTTGTTCATAGTTTTTAGTTTTGCTCAGATATCTAATGTATGCATGATTGAGTTGTTTACTGATTTTTGATAGGTATTAAGGATAGTAAATAGAACAACAAAATGACTTATCTTTTAAGCTGTTGAATGACTTATCTTTCTTGTTCAATTGGAAATAACCTGCATGTCTTAACTCTTGAGCAAGAGTTGCTTATGGTTAGCTTCCATATCTAGGTCCATCCAATGCAATGGCTACTTTAGAAATCTGAATTCTCCTTTTCCTACATCTAGTTTGTGCAAATTTTCACATTTCCTTCAAAACATAAAATGTTTCATGAAAAGTAACTCTTTGTATTTACTACTCTTCTATTACAAGTGTACCATATCTATCATTTTCCACCCTCAAATTTTCTGTCAAAGTTCGTCAATCTGTGAATCATAGTTTGATAGCAAAATTCATTTATTCTTTTCTATGGAAAAAGACCTTATTTTACTTTCCATAACTAGTATGATATATGTTTTAAGTTTTTGCAAAAAAGCAATAAATCCTTAATATTCTTCTTATTCCAGCTTTTGTTTTCTTTAAATTTAATTTAAATTAAAAAAAATATGAAAAGTAGAGGCTCTCTTCCCCTTTTCCTCATCTATATTTTCTAAACCAAAGATTTCAAGTTCAATTTTAAGAGACTCCATTCGTGTCCTTTCTTAGAAATGTATTCTTTTAACCACTTGGCATGCCACTCCTTTTTTTCATCTTTTGTTGTCTCTTCTACTCTCTAAGAACCTAAAAGATTTAACTACAGAATAACCACAAAACCTTTGTCTTTGTGCTTATAACCTATATTAAACTTCAATTCTTAAAGAACATTTCTTCTACCAAGTTATGGCCACATAGATTGAGTCCATTGTCATCTAGAAGTACGCAGCTTCATGTTGTTTGCAAAGAAGATAACTTGTTAATTGGTGAATTGATCTAGTTGTCAAGCTTTCCTTTATCACTTTGTATATTCTTCTACTTCTCTACCAAGTGCTTGTGGTAGGTTGTTAGCATGTATTGTCTCTTGCTCTCTTTTTGCTATATTCCTCTTCTATTCATCGTGTTCATATGGATTTGCTTTAACATTAAAAGATATTTAAAGAGTTTGATTTGTTTAGTAATGTATTAGAATCATAAGCTTTTAATGTTCCATGCATGCTTTGATGATGTAGAAAGGGTTTCATTGTTTTAACTTAGTGATGTCATAGGAAAATATGGCGTTCTATGGCAGTGCAAGTGGCGCAAGTGTTGTTTATGGGCTCTTTTCATGACTATTATTTTGTTTTTTATTTTATTATTTGTTGTAACAGTAGCTCGACATTTGTAACATAAATTTCCTTATATTCCCTTTTCTTAATCTCCTCATTTTATCTAATTTTCAATGTTTCTCACAATGCTCATATATGTTATCTAATTAACTATGTTCTCATATTTGAATTACAAATTTTTGAAGTTCCTATTGTGCAAAAAATTGGTTGAGGTCTTCAAGATTCTTAAAACATTGATAAATTTTGTGAGAGAATATGGAGTTCAATTAGAAGCGAGTTCACTAATGAGAGGAGAAAGATAGGTCCAACTTGAAATATTATGATAGAGATAAATTTAAATATCTTTAGGTCTTATGATCAACAAGTCTAGATATAATCTCTATCAAGGCATTAAACCTTTAAGGCTAAGAGTTTTACCAAACAACAAAATTCAGAGTAAGATGTGAAGGATGTGGAGATAATAAATTATTAGCCTAATAATTAACATATCATGAAGCTATGGATTAAATAGCTTATTTTGACCCAATAGTTCTAAAAAGAACACTTCAGCTATATTGACTTTAGATTAGAGATATAGGTAGCATAACAAGGTTTGAATTTTCTTAAAATGTGGTTAGAGGCATGTGGGAGGCAGAGTGCAGATGGTTTGAACTATGAAACTTAATCCTCCTATGCACTCTTTTGATAGTTGCTACTTGAGGAATTTGTTTCTTCTCCCGGTTCTTCATTCCTTTCTCCATTCATCAACTGAAATATAGCCACATCTTTTGATGCATTGGCTCAAACAATATTCTTTCGTTTATTTATGGAGTTGCCTACCATTTTCAGTACTATATAGCTAAGAACTAATATTGCATTTGGCTAATAATTTGTATCCTTGTGTTGTTTTGGGATATTTATCCATAATAACTCATCCCATCTTGAGTCACACACTTAAATACTTCTTATTTCAGAGGCAACATCAGGGTTATTTTGGATCTAATGTAGCTTGGTGAACTTAGCCTTCACCATATGAAGAGCCAGTTACAGGTTTGTGCTTGTACTCAACTTGAACATTGTCATTTTAATTGCTAAATTCAATTATCAATTATCTAGAAAATGACCATTTACACCCTTAGTGGTTTTCAATGTATTCCATAAATGTAGACTTGGCAAATTTAAAGTGAAAGAGTGGCTCGACACCAAAAATGGCAAGTCATTATCCCCATTACTCTTCTTGCATGTTTTTTTCTTTTTTTCATCCACACTTTTCATGCTTGTTAAATTGTGCAATTTGACTCCGCATAGTTTTATGCTTCTTTACCACTAAGTTAAACATACACGTCCAAATGCCATGTTCTTTAATCCTGAGGTGAGATTTATGTTGGTAGGCATGTAGGCAAAGATACAGATATAATATTGATCCAAACTTTAATTACTCATTACCAAGAATAAAAATGATGTTCCACATGCCATATAATTTTCATATTGAGATACATGATAGTTAAAAAGATTAGAAGTCAAGAAACAATGACGAAATTGAATTTTGGGCAAAGTGCAAAATCAGGTTAGAGGTCTAGTGGTAGGTGAATCTCAAAGAATAATTGAACATAATAAAATTGAGGGAGAAGACATGAGAAGCTTTGATTGATATATTCTTTTCTATTTTCTATAAAGTAATATGTAAGACACTTGTGAACAACATGATGTCCATTCTGATCTTATACTTTCCATGCCTATGAATCAAAGGACTCCCACTAGCTGCACTTGGCTTGCAGCCTATGTTCTTATTGAAAACATCAGTAGCCAAGACAAACCTGCATGATAGGTAAACTATGTTCATTTCTAGATGGGTCCTCATATTTGCATAAGCATAAATAAATAATGGTTTCACTTTCTAAAGGAAAAATTTCATGCACTATCAACCTAACAAATTCAATTTGAATTATCGTTTCATGGTATGCTAGATTTAAAGCTTTTAAAGCAAAACAAACTCCAAATTCCTAACGAGAAATTCATGGAAAACTCTATTGGAATTTGAACCTTTAGGTAAATTAAATTCTCTCTTTTGGAACAATCTTAGCATCAAGAAGCAAACTATCTTGCTTTTTCATTTTTTTGATAAATAGGAAAAATATGATTGTTGTCTTCAAATTTAGCATATTTTTTGCAATGCTTCATTATGGAATGATTATTAATGCCGGTTAATAAGCATGTTAACAATTGTCTACAAACAGAGCAGATGTATAAAAATTCTAGACTAGATTATGCAAGAGATTCACTTATTAATCACTATCTAAGCGACGCAACACTAATTGATGCATTTCTTGGCAAACAACCCTCTAGTCTTTTTAGAAACTGTAATAGGAATACCTAATGATGTAGCACCATTTGATACATTTTCTTGCAGACAAGCCTACAATCCACCAACAACTTTGACAGGAATACAACCATGATTGAAATCCCACCCTTTTGTTACAACCAACCGAACTATTACCTTGCATATAACCCATTTCGACTATCAACTCATATCCTTGCTTTCAAGAGCAACCCCAGATTTCTGTTCAGTCTACACCTGGATGCTTCTTTGCAAATTCATACCCAAAAAATATCCTATTTAGAAATGACATAAATGGTCAGCTTCCAAGTTCATACCTTGAAAACTTCTTGTTTAGAAATGATATACTCATGCGGTGATCTAGTTCATACCTAGAAAGTTTCCTACCTAGAAATGACACTAATTGGCAACCAACAAATCCAAACCCAGAAAACTTCCCTCCCCCTACTAGTGGTGGGAAGACGAGTGTCTAAACAGAAGAACAAAAACTAATAGAATCTCTTTGAATTTTGATGGTAATCTTGATGTTGGGAATTAAGATGCTAGCTTTAACTAGATCAATGTCAATGGGTTTTCCAACTAACTTTAAGTGGGAGAATAGGATCACTTATTCCTGTTTGAATATGTAGTTTTGCAAGTTTCAAAACATCACATTCTCAGAAAAGACTAGTTCTTTAACCTTTCCTTTTGCATGTTAATATGAATCAAACAACTTTGGACTTGCACCGATATATAAATATAGTCTTGTGTTTTTTCAAGGTTAAGTATCCCTGAACTACTAAATTATGGTAAAACAATCTCATTATGTTCCTGTTTGATTGTGTTTTTTGATCCCTAGTTAGTCCATCATGGTTTTATGCAATGTTTTTGGACCCGGCCCGGCCCGGCCGGTTGAACCGGTTGAACCGAACCCGGACCTGAAAATGGGCCGGTTGAATACTTCAACCCGTTTAAGCAAATGGCCCGTTGAAACCCGTCAGACCCGTCCTGCTCGTTAAACTCGTGCGACCTGTTGCAACCGGCCGGGCTGAAATTTTCATCATCTTCTCGTTCGTCGATTGTCCGCCGATCGTCCGCTGATCATCCGCCGACCATCCGCCGATCGTCTCTTCCACCGATCTTCTCGTCCGTCGATCTGCTTGTCCGCCGATGGTCCACCGATCCTCTCTTCCACGATCGTTCGCCGATCTTCTCTACCGCCAATCGTCCGCCGATCATCTTTTCCACCGAGCGTCCGTCGATCCTCTCCTCCGTCGCTGCACTTCTTCTCTTTCGCCGATCATCTTCATCTCCCTCGTCTGTTCTGCTCAAAACGATATGTATCGTATTCGGGTGAAACCGTGAAGGTAAGGTATAAAAGCAAAATTCAATAAAAAATTAAAAATGCCCAGAAAAAAAGTTTTTTAGTTGACTTTAGTTGACCGGTTGAACCGGTCGGGTGAACCGATTCAACCTGTTGACTCGGACCCGGTGGTCAAAACGGGCCAGCCACCGGGCCGGGTCCAAAAACATTGGTTTTATGTTTTTTAGTAGGTACAACTCTTCAAAAGAAATTTCAATCCAAGTGTAGATAACTGCCTTCAGTTGAATGTGCAAGTAGGAAAGGTTGATTTGTGGAAAAACTCATAATAAATTTTAAATTTTATGTGAAAGAAAATTTACTTTTTACGTACAAAAATAAATTTACATTCTCTATTAATCTCTAATGTGCTTTTCTTCTCCCAACTTAAATTTTACAACTTGAAAATTAATTTTACTTAATACTCTAAAGAAATCTAATCACACTAGAACTTATTCACAAAAATCATTTCTAGAGACATTTGCTTAACTTATATGAGCCTAGGTGTATCAATTTCATGCTTCATGCATGATTTGTGCCCGTCATACACAATGCATGTACACATGTCTTCTGCAGATGCGTTGTGTGGTTTAAAAATTTGTTCCATTTTGGATTAGAAATCCTAACTCTTTTTTTCTTTTTCCAATTATAATAGTCAAACTTATGGGAAAAATTTATGATCAATCCCCCTAAAAACATATTCAATTCATGCTTCTTATGGCATTCACCTAATCATGCAACTTATGCAACATCACATGCTCAAGTAATAATTAGGTAGGCCTATATACATTCAAAACTTGCCAATCTCTTCAATTTGTTAAACTCTAAATTTAGAGATAAAATTTTAAGTTTTTATAAGTTACAAGAGGCTCAACTCTTCAAAAACAATCAATTAGATACCATAAACCACTTTAATACCATGATTTTAGATAACGAATCTAGAACCGAAAAATGAAAAATCTCTATCCTCAAGCCCATCTAGGATAAATTACCACAAAACACCAATAAGGATTTCCTGTTTGGTCTAAAATCTCAAGTGCAATTGTTGCATCAATCAACCTCCTCAGTCACTCTCCTTAAAACTGAGCTTTGAGCCCCTTCATAGAGTGGTCGTCCTCTTCATATGATCACATCAACCACACGTACTCTAACCTTATAGCAGCCAACCTTAAAGACGAGATAACCTCCCTGAATCTTAGGTACCTTGAAAAGAAAATGTTAAATTTACTATACCCATGAATGTAGGATCAATACACCAACTTTGTATACCAAATCTCATTGGCAGAGCCAAACAGGGCCTTGAGGGGGGATAGGCCCTCCCTAAACATTTAAAAAAAATTTAATTTAGTACCTTATATTTTATTTTTATCATTTTTATCCTCACTTATTTCATACTATTTTAATCATTTTCTTGCATTTGTGTTGTTAGAAATTATTTTAATGACAAAGAGAAAGATGAAGGAAAGAAAGATAATATGAAATATGGGGAGAAATAAAAATAAATGAAATAAAAATTGTTTATTGCTATATTCTTTTTAAAAATTGTCCACTAATATATTTACTTCCTCTTTCATTCTTCATAGTATATTTTTTTATCTATCTTTTTTTCTTTTTCTTTTTTTTATCTTTTAGTTTTGGTGTTTATACTACATTATCAATTGCTATTAGTTTAGCATTTTTTGCTAACAAATGTTATTCAAAATATTTTTTTAACTTTTCAAATTAACACAAATTTATTATTTTTTGGTTGAAATTTTATTTGACCCCCCTAAAAATATTTTCTAGCTCTACCATTGCCAAATCCCTTTTCTGCTTAATTAGTTCTTACTACTTTAATCTAAGTTTTGCATTTTAGAAAAATTTTCAACCATATTAATTGTTCATCATTTTATTTGAATGGTTATTTTAATTTACTTCACCAACTATTGTAGATGAAAGGGCTTTAATTTATTCTACAGTGCATCAAATTTATGTTTAATAAACAACAAGACTATGGAATCTACTACTGCATTTTATGTTTGGTATTAATCCTACTATCAACACTCTCTACATGGAACTTTGATGTAGGTTGTTTAAATTGTGTTTTATTATGTGACTTATGTTTGATGTTCTTGTTTCTTCATTTGATGTAGCTTTGCTTTGTCTGCACAATATGGGTGATGAAAGTAGAAACCCATCTACATTGGCTTCAAATTCAAATGTAACTCCACAATTTGTTATAAGGTTAAAGAGAAATTTGAATGACATAGGATCGGAGTATAGAGGACTTTGGGATCTAAATGACTAACATGCTATTAAGTGCAAGTTATCTGGTCATATAGGTAGAGGTGGTGTTTGTAGGATAAAGAAACATATTGCTCATTACAAACGTAACACAACCTCTATTAAGAACTGCTTACTATCATTAGAGGAAGATAAAAGAGGTGGTTGGAAGCATTGCTTGGAAGAAAGAGAGTTAAAGATCAAAGATAGATGAGGATGCTAAATTAAGAGATGAAGTTTGTTATAGTGTTATGGTTAAAGAAGGCTTGCATTTTGTTGTGGATGATGCACAAACTATTCCACTACATACCAAATAGTTCGACTTTAGATGATATTCATCAATATGTGGCACATTGGGTTTATGAAGCTAGCATTCCTTTTGATGCCATGGGTCTTCAAAGCTTCCTTGATATGGTGGAAGCCTTTTGTAAATATGGAAGAGCATACCAAATGCTTAGTCAATATCAATTACGTGAGCCACTTTTGAAGAAACAAGTTAAGAGGACTAAGAAGTCAATTAAACAACACGAAAAAGAGTGGAAGCATACTGGATGTTGAATATTGATTGATATTGGCTAGATCATCACAAGTGAAGAAGTATCATGAACTATGCCTAAGCTCTAGGTTGGGAATGGTTTTTTTATCTTCTATAGAGGAATTTGAGGAGGCGCACATTGGGGAATACATAGCTGATTTTGTTAATAAGTGTATTGATGAAGTTGGGGAAGAAAAAGCTGTTCAAATTGTGATTGATAGTGCCTCAAATAACATGGCAACTACAAAGCTTGTGTTTGAAAAAAGGCCAAAATTGTTTTGGAGCTCTTGTGCTACTCACACAATCATTTTAATGCTTGAAGGAATTGGCAAGCTCCTCTAATTTAAACATGTAATCTCAAAGGCCAAGAACCTTGCCATTTTCATCTATGCACATCATAGAACAATGCCTACAATGTGTAAGTATAAGTTAAAAAGAGACATAGTGAAGCCAGGAATAATAAGCTTTCGAATTGCATTTCCTACCTTGCAAAGCTTATATGAGAAAAAAGAGGAGTTGAGGTTTATGTTCTCTTTTGATGAACAAAGTAAGTGTAAGCTCTCTTCTTATAATAAGGGAATGAAGGCCACCACACCAATGTTTAGCTGTACACTTTGGCAAGGTGTTAATATGTACTTGAAGGCCTTTGGTCCTTCACTAAGGGTAATTCTATTTCAACTTTAAGATTAGTTTTATATTATTAATGGAAATAAGATTTCATATATCTCTATTTAATAATTAATATTCTAACTGGTATAGGTTCTATAGCTTTTTGATGGAGATAATAACCAATCCATGGGCTTCATTGTTGAAGAATTGAAGAATGCAAAGAAAGAAATACAAGCACTTTATAAAAACAAGCAAAAGGGTGTTGAGGAAATTTATGGTGAAAAGGAAGGGACTTGGAGGAGAAGGGACACACACGGGAGTTCCCCCTTTGTTGAGGTGAAAACTCCATTTTCTCATTCATGTTCTACTATTAAATAGCAGACATATCTCAATACATCAATAGTAATTTTCATACTTATCTCATACATTTAATGCAAGATTACATTAAAAAAACTTGCTGCCACTTATGTAGCTTCATTTCGTTTCATTTGCTACCACTTGTGCAGCTTCATGTGGCTGTACTTGTTGCTACTTTGTAGGCTCATTTGCATTTCTTTACAGCCTCATTTTATCAACATTTGTAGCATATCTTGCTCCACTCTACTGCTACCGTGTTTGGTGCAACTCTCCCTTCATTTCATTTTGCTGTCACCTATGCAGCTTTCTTTCCATTTGCTGCCTCTTGTGCAGCTTTGACACCACAGCTCCAACACTCCTCCTTGGTGTTAAAGCTAAGGATAACATGACATTAACCAAGCATTTGGAGTCTAGCATTTGTGCAATTCTTTATGCTTTGGTTTTGATTTTTGTTGCTGCTAAAGCATCTCTTTTAGCAGATCAACTCCTTCAATGTTGCAGCTTCATCTTTCTTGGATTTGCTGCTTTAACACATTTTTTTGGAGCTTTGTTGAGCCATTTTGCTGTCTCGTTGTAGCAAACATCATAGCTTTGATGCCATTTTTCAGCTTCTTTGTGCTTGGTGTTGGTGAAACCTCCATCAAAGCCACATCCATGAAGAGTTTTCTTGGGAAAACTCAAGACATAACCATAGCAAACTTAAAAGATGGATGGACATATCATGAAATGAAACTGATTTTTTTGTGTTCAGTTTCCCATTCCATCAACCATGTTTTGCCTTATAGACTGTTTTTTGAAACAAACATAAACACCTTCTCTTTGAATCCAATTTTCCTCTCCTTGACATCTCCCATGGTGGGACTAACATATGCCTCCATCTTCACAGCCTTTTTTGCTGCAAGATTTTGGCCAAGCAAGAGGGGTTTCACATGAAAAACTATTTGAAAAACAAAGAAAGGTGGTTTTTTTTTTTTTTTTTTTTGGTGTTCACTCAAACTCACTTTCAGAGGTCCCTCAAGATCATTGAAGCTCTAATACCATGTTGAGGAAATTTATCATGAAAAGGAAAGGACTTGGAGGAGAAGGGAGATACACGAGAGTTCCTTCTTTATTGAGGTGAAAACTCCATTTTCTCATTCATGTTCTATTATTAAATAGAAGACATATCTCAATACATCAACAGTAATTTTCATACTTATCTAATACATTTAATGCAACATTACATTAAAAGACTTGCTGCCATTTGTGTAGCTTCATGTGGCTATACTTGCTGCTACTTTGCAGCCTCATTTGCATTTCATTACAGCCTCATTTCATCAACATTTTCAGCATAGCTTGCTCCATTCTATTGCTACCGTGTCTGGTGTAGCTTTCTTTCCATTTGTTGCCTTTTGTGCAGCTTTGACACTACAACTCCAACAAAGGGATGCAAGTGTATTCTTTACATCATCAATGAAAAGAGTAAAGATAGGCTTGATACACCCTTACAAAAGGCTGTATAGGTATTGAATTTGAATCCTTATTACATATTATTACAGTGATCCAAATATAATTATGGATTTAAACCGACTCGTGTTGGAGTGCATTGAGAAAGATCTTATGGATGACGTAGAGCCATGCTATTAGTTCAAAATATTGAGTTTCTCAAATGCAAGTTTTATAAAGGAAAGTTCGGTAAAAAGTGTGCAATAAATGGAACAAAGATTTGGATGGATAACTTTGATCCAAGTATATCATTATTTAATGCTATTGTTCTGTTCTTATTACTTATATTTAATTAATTAAAAATCATTTTTACTATTTCTTACATATTGCTAGTGGAAATGGTGGTCTAAATGGGATAGAGACTTCCAATTTGTGTAACATGGCAGTGAGAATTAGATCTTTAACTTGCACTGCTTCAAGATGTGAACGGAATTGGAGTAATTTTGAGGGGTTAAGTAATGGTTGCTTATATGTTGTTGAAACAGGTTTGGTCATTCTTAATTAACAATGCTAATTTGTGGTAAAAAAAAAAAAAAAATCAACAATGCTAACGTGCTTATATGCTTCTCTTTTTCATTAATAGATTCGCATAGAGAAGAGGAATAAGCTTGAAGCATCTAAATTAAATGACTGGGTTTTTGTTCAATTCAATGCAAAGCTTTCCAACTAAAGAGCTAAAGAGAATGAAGATGTCCTACTTGCAAGTGATGCAACTAATGCTCAAGTATGGATTGTGGAGAATGATTGACATTGGTAAGGAATATGGTTTTGCCCCGGATACGAATGTCCCTTCTTGTGTTGGAGAAGCAATAAGTGCAGACTCAGTTTTGGAGCCTAGGTCTAGGTTTACTCCCCTAAGCATAAATCATCCGATAGCAAATTAGAGGAAGAGTCTAGATTTGTCGACAATGATGGGAGATAGGGACATGATAGTCAAGGGTAGTTATAACGATGGTCCCTGGTTTAATGAATAGCTATAGCATAAGGCCCTACTATTTACTGATATTTATTAAGTTTTTTTTTTTTTTTTTTGTGTGTGAAGATACTAAGGATGAAACCCCAAACAGCAACTGTAGCCCTAAAATACATGGCTAATGGTACTAGTATGGGTATGCTCCATCTTGAGATGATTGTGGGCGGGTTTATTTGTTTGACACATCTCGTCTTCTACTACAAAACATGACTGGTTTAATACTTAAATTGTTGCATCTTAGTCTTTTGTCCGTTTCACTGCACTTTTTATTTTCTAGTCAAGGAATTGGATCTGTCCGTCCAAAAGGAGTGAATCTGAAAATAAAAATGAAAATTAATCTTTTTATTAATAAGAAACAGAAAAATATGCTTAACTAAAATGTAAAACAATAAGTATTGATCGAGGTATCACCTCGCATTCTGGGCTTGCCCAATGGTCCCCTGAAAAATAAGAGGCAATACAAAGATATGAAGCCCAAAGGTTACAACTTTTTCCAACATCACAGTAAATGAAGTCCTAATCTCAAAAATAATAGCAAAAAGTATGCCAGACCTTAATGCAATCTAGAAAACTATTGATAACCTAGAAGAAATATTGCCCAATGATTTACCAAGAAGTGCCACTTTTCCTCCATGCCAAACTTTTCTTCGGCTGGTCATAAATAGTTTTTAATCAAATCTTAACAGACAAGAAAAGGTACTAAATGAAGTAGAATGAGATAAGGAAGCCAATGGCGCCTGTAGATAACATGATTGCAATTGCCATGATCAAGGAATAGCCAACGTAAAGGAAAGCTGACACCGGTCCACTCAAACTTTGTAGGTCAAACACCAGGTAATTGATGGAGTAAAGGAATACATAAAGTGCAACTAAACCCGAAGCAAAGAAAGCCTTCCACCAGTCTGCCAGTCCTCAACACAGAGGTGCATGTAAGTGAGAACCACAGACACCTCAGCACAAACAATAATGAGAACTAGAAGAACTACAAGCAAGAACCCAAAGACATAATAGAACCTGCCAAGCCAGAGGCTAGAAAGGAAGAAGAAAAGCTCAATGAATAGAGTTCCAAATGGAAGGGTTCCAGCACCGAGGATAAGAAGCCATGACGGATATTTCCATGCAGAAATCTCCCAGGGAATTTGGTTAGTCCACACTAGATATTGAATTGCCTCAGCTCTAGTCCCAAAGAATCCTCCCATAAGGGTTAGAGGCACTGAGATGCAGAACCAAAGGGATAACAGTTCAAAATACAAGGAAATGGGAATAACACCAGTACTTTTGTTGCCCCAGAGAACAAAATTCAATGCTGTTAGGATTACAAAGACAATTCCAGGGAAGAAGCATGCAGTTGACCATGAAACAGACCTCCAACCTTCTGTAGTTCCCTTGATCATTCTTCAGAGACGTATAGCAACATACCTGGCTACAATTCCTAAGAAAAGGTAAAGAATAATCATACTCGAGAGTAGCATTCCACGAGAAGCTGGTGACATGAAACCAAGGGCCACAAAAACAATAGTGACAACTGCCATTCCTGTAATCTGAACCCTATCACCTACTATCACGCAAAGAAGCTTTGGGCAGTCTGGCTCTCTAAAAACATCACCAACAACAAGCTTCTATCCAGAAAGCTCCTCATTCATCTGTGCTTGAGCCTCTTTATCCAATTCCTTATACCTTGTCAAGTCCCTTTAGACGGTCCTCAAGAAAATGACAAAAACAATACCAGCTAGGAAAAAGATCACCATCAGAGAATTCAGAATTGAGAACCAATGCACACGAGCACCTTCCATCTTCAACTAAGCATCCCACCTAGATGGCCACCTAATATCACTTTTCACAAATTCAACCTCATAAGTAAATGATATTCTCTCTTGTTCCCTTATTATTTGTGACTTCTCAAGTTCCAAGGGGCAATTCATAGATGGGACATTGTCATAAATTTTGAGTTTAGTCATAGCATTTGGATCATCCTTAACACTACAAGGGACAACCTCAAAACCAACAATCTCATACCCAGGTGGCTTCTTGTTATCAGATTCAGAAATGAACCCAAACCTTCCTCTCCTGTGCCAATTGTCTTGAGACCACTTCCCTTATACTCATGCACCAAGACTGTGAATTTTAGACGATTGATAATGTAATCATCGTTACTGTTTGGAGGAGTGTACCCCACAGGAAAACCAGTTCTCCAAGATTCAGTGGAGGTTGTTTGGAGGCTGTTCTGATTTGCAAACCTCATAGCTGGCAAATTGTCAAGGATCATATTCACCCGGTACAAATCCCTAGTTCTCTGCTTCAAGAGCTTAACCTCATTTTCACTCAATGGGTTGGTAGTGCAGAGGTAGACTGATTCATTCACATTCATTCGAAACCAATAAGGAGAGTTATCAATCTGATCTCCCATGAGGAGTTCACCAAGATTTTCTGCACTTTTCTTTATTCCCTCTGGAGGTCTACACTAAGGGAGATTATAATAGCTAAAGGGAAGCTCAGTTTCAATAGAAGTCAAGGAATTGACTTTGGCAAATATAGGTTCATCAGTTGAATATGTGCGCATGTAGCTTCCAGGTAGGTAAAACCCATAGCAGGTATCTGAAAGCAAAACCAAAACAAGGAAAACCCCACAAATTGCCCCCATTTTGCTTTCTGATATCAACAAGAAAGTCATTGAAATAACAGATCCTGTGCTCGATCTAAGCTATTTCAACATCAAATCTACACAAAAAGAAGAAGAAGAAAAAAAAACCTTACTATCAACATTTTCCAACATAAATAAAAAAAGATCCAAAAACTAATCCCAAAAGAAAACAAACAACATAGACACATAAATTCTTGGTTCCATAGAACCAAATCTAGTAACTCCACATCCAGAAAAAAAAAAAAAGAAGAAAGATGCATAATCAACTGTTTCAACAAAGGCAACTCAAAATTGGATGGACTAACAAAGAAATAACGAATCAGATCAAAGAACTAAATAAAGTCTTTCGATTCCAAAGTAGCAGCAGAAACATCCAATAACAATTTAAAGAACAAATTATTATCGTCATCAAGAACAAGATATGAAGCAAACGGGAATGGATCCAAGTGCTAAACAGATATCAATTATATACTTCAAATGAGAACAAGAGATGGAGGAGGTACGGGCGGCAGATCTAGCGGATTCGCAAATTCATAATATACTAATTCATTAAAAAATACATATCCATTTTAATTTTTATATTTTTTTAAATTCAAAACTACATTATTTTATTAAATAAAGATGCTCGATATTTGAGAAAGAGATAGGAGTAAAAATAAGATTGACAGCCACTATCCTCATATCATATCATTTTCATACCGTATTATGTGAAAAAAAAAAAAAAAGAATGGTCATATATTAAAAATACAAATTTCATGTTTTATTGCCTAAATTGTATAAAAATAAAAAGTAAAGATTATTAAATAATAAATAGTATGTGATTTGTTACGATATAAACTACACAGCATTTTTTCCTAAAAATATTCTCTTCAAATCAGAATATATTATGATTACGTTCGTGCCCATTTTACCTTTGAAATAACGATTTTTTGATAATTTTATCGCCTCCAACTGAGTGTGCATTGTTTTTCTATGTAGAGCATGAAAGAAGACAGTAAAAGCTTATACAATATAATTTCAACTGCTTTAAGTAGTACGCATGTGGAGAAACCTAGAACATTAAGGAAAACTGTTGTTCATTTTTTGGGGAAAAATGGCAGGCATGGACGATTCTTGCTGGCCTGGCCTTCTTGACATCAATGGGTTTGGTCCACAAAAACCAGTTTGCAATATTTTTTTCCTGATTTATCAAGTGCTGGGATTACATTTCTGTCACCAGACACGTTTATATCATGTTCATGTGTGCCTCTTTCTGTCCGCAATATATGTCCTGAGCATGAGTGAATTCTAACATTTCCTAGCAGTTTAAGTAAAATATCAATCCTGACATGAAATTAATTCTATGAAATTGTTGTTAACAAGCATCTAATCGACCTGCAAGAATATATTTTTATGAAACTTATTGTCTTTTGGTTGCACCTAATGCCATTACTTGCCACGATTTGCCGAAGGCAAGCAACGTTGTTATGAGAAAGATAAGTCTTGCTTCTAGGAGTTATTTCTATTACAGGAGTTGCAGTTACCAAGTTCACTTTGTGTTGTTGTTGCTATGTGTTAAGATTTAAGCTAACTCCTACTTACCTAAGTATTGATGCAGTTGACTCGAAAATTCCAGATGATGTTAGGTTATTGTTTCCTAAAAAATTCTCAAGTGGTTTCGCACGTGTAAAATTTGAATGTTGACGTGCCACTTACTTTTCTGAAAAGTAAGAAAAAAAAAAAGATTTCTCCAATGACCCTCTCCTTCCACACAGTTGACCTCCATCAAGATGGCTAGAAGAACGTTGGTCTAAAATCGAGTTTAAGCCCTTCAAATGATTTGCAAGAGGAAGGGATGCCCTCTAACAGAATGGGTTGCTAATCTGCCTTGGACAATCTCAAGGATTTTACCAATATCGTGAATTTAAGTTAATAGATCCAAAATGAACTAAATGAAATGCACATTAGAGTAAACTTGATGTTTATTGCATGAAAGGAAATCAAAGAAGCAATTACACAAACTAATTTGGGTACTTGAATATTGAAAACAACCTAAATCTATTGGGATCTTTGCTAAAACTGAAATATGAAAACTAAGGTGAGCAATGACTATGAAACTAGAGAATTGAAAATTTGATGAGTTTTGTGTAGGGCTAATTGTGTCTGTTGAAAAATCAGCAAGCTTTTATTTATATGCTTCTTGCGAACTGTCTCTTGGCTAATGAGATTGTGCATAACTCCTCAATTGCACTTCCTCCTAAACTCTAGGAATTTTTATTTCTTTTAAATTCAAGCTGCAACCAACTAAATAGTCTTTATCCTCCCAACCAATTTTATAAATATGCATCCCTTTAGTAGATCTGATTTCACCTTATCCATTAACAAGTGGCATCACTTAAAAAATGCAATTTATGGTGTAAACAATGGCCCCAACACTTGATTTTATGAAAATAAATTCAAGTGTTTATAATTAAATAAATTGCATGTAAACCCCAGCCACCAATGCCACATGTCAAACAACTCCAAGGTTTGAAAGAAAAGTTTCAAACCTTAAGGCCAAGCTTGTAGAACCAAACAAATAGATTCTTTGTGGAGTAGATAGAAAAGAGTTTAGCAAAACAACATAGCAAACTTCCTACAGATCTAGAGATAGACTTTGAACATAGTTTCCAAAATCAAAGATAGCTTTCCTCTTTCACAGTCTTTATTGCATACTTGATCTAGAGCAGGTTGTAATCTAACATAGCAATAATTTAGTCGCTATGATTGCTCATGGCCAAATCTAGCCAACTTACAAATTCAAATCAGCATTTTTATTGAAACTCAAAAAATGCTTAATTGGAAAAAGAAAATACTATGCAATTTCACCCAAAATCTTACTCAACCAAAATTTGAAATATCCAGGTTTACCTCCTCTAGTGGATTTTGTCAAGTTTGGCTAGAGCCAGATCTAACTCTTCCAAAGTAACCTCATTTGTCAAATTTTCCTCTTCACCTTCGTGGACCACCTCAAATTTGTTTACACTAATCCGTTTTTCTACAAGATAGGCCATTAATTTCCTTTTGATTTCTTCCACAACCTCTTTCTTTTGGAAATTGATTCATTGTTTCTTCATGGAATTTCTTCAATTCTTAGCTCCTTCCTCGACCTAAAAGGAACTATTGTTGTAGGCCAAAGGAGTTCATCACAAACCTCCTTCACTATGTGTCTAGTAAGTGCTGATCTGGTGCTGACAGTTATTCCAACTGGTCTGCCATTACGATCTATGCCAAAGAAACGGATGGTCCTG